TGTTGGAGAGGGTGTGGAGAAAAAGGACCTTCCTATATTTTTGGTGGAAATGTAAGTTGGTGCAGCCACTATGGAAAACAGTAGGCAGGTTTCTTAAAAAACTAAAAATTGACTTGCCATATGATCCAGCAACCCACTCCTGGAAATATATCCAGAAAAGATGAAAACTCTAATTCAAAGAGATACTTGCACCTCCATGTTCATAGCAGCACTATTTTTAATAGCCAAGACATGTAAGTAACCTAAATGTCCATCAACAGATAATGGATAGTATAAATACATAATGGAATATTACTCAACCATAAAAAAGAATGAAATATTTCCATTTGCAGCAATATAGATGGACCTAGAGACTATCAGACTAAGTGAAGTAAGTCAGACAAATATCATATAATATCACTTATATGTGGAATCTTAAAAAAATGATACAAATGAACTTATTTATGAAACAGAAACAGACTCATAGACATAGAAAACAAGCTTATGGTTACCAAAGGGGAAAGGGGAGGGGGAGGGATAAATTAGGAGTATGGGATTAACAAATATACACCACTATATATAAAATAGATGTTAAACAACAAGGATTTGCTGTACAGCACAGGGAACTATATTTAGTATCCTATAATAACCTATAATGAAAAAGCTGTACACCGGAGACTAACACAATATTGTAAATCAACTCTAGGTAAACAAAAAATAATAAAGAAAGAGAGAGAGAAAGAAATATAGCCTTAGAACCCAAGAGTAAAGAGCATGAATACACCAAGGAAATGTATTCAAATGGCTGAGTGCAAGACACGGAGCTGGACCCTGTCATACTAACTGACGGAGATCAGAGGCTCCCCTGCAACCATCCCACTTCACACTGTGTCTTACCTGACTTGCACAGCAGCTTCATTAAGTAGTAATATCAGAATCCCATTTTACAGAGAAGGAAACTGCTGTAAATAAGTGCTAAATAACTTGTCTAAGGTCACATAACTAGAAGTAGAAGAGGTGGGCTTCTCCTGGGTCTGAGAGCCAGAGAGACTTCTTACTCACTGTACTCCCTGGCAACGCTATTACCATGCAGATGGGATAGGAAGAGAATAAGCTTTGGCACTCACCCTTAAGGGAGGAGGGAGGGAGGAAAGAAGGAAGAAAGGAGAGAGAGAGAGAGAGGATGAATCAACGAAATGGTAAATATAATCACGGCTTAAATGGACTCATGCTCTCTCCCTGCTCCCCTCTGTGGAATCCTACTCTAAATGAAGGATCTGATAAACTCAGATCCAAGTGTCACTGAACATGACACAGGACGCTTTTAACTAACCTAGAACAGTGGTTTTCCACCCGGGCTGCACATTAGAATCACCCAAAGAGCTTTCAAAAAACAGGAATGCCAGGGCCCCACCCCAGAAAATGTAATTCAGTTGAACTGGAAGAAGGCCCAGGCCATAGTGGTTTTTTTCCTCATGTGCAGACAGGGTTGAGCATTTCTGGTATGATCCAACCCCCTCAGAGGTCAGAGAGTTGATGTCACTTCTCCATGGCCAGAGAGCCAGTAAGTGACGGAGGTGGGATAGGATCTCATAGTATCACTGACTTACTCTAGACTTTATCAAGTCTTGAGTTCATGAAATCCTTCCTTTTCTCTTACATCTCTCAGATTTCAGTTTTTCTCATTCATATACAGCACCTACCATGTGCCAGGTGCCAGGTATATGGCAGTGAACAAAACAGCAAGTTTCCTCTCACTTTGACCTCAGCAGGAAAAGCCCAAACATCCGGACGCCTTTCTCAGTCTGGATCATGTTGTCTTCACTAGTTCATGAGTTTCTTGGGTCCAGGAGCCGTGAGTTACTCATCTTTAGAGCCACAGGGCCTACCACAAGCCTGGCAGGGGGGCAGATTTAATAAGTTTGATCAATAGATAAATGAATGCAAGTGATTCCTGAATAATCCCCTTACATGGAATTAAAAAAAAAACAGAAAAATGTCAGGAAGACCACTTGTATTAGTCAGGACTTTCTCAAATTTATGTCATAGAAATCCAACTTAAATTTTTTGAGGCACCAGAGGGTATTTATTTACTCATAACTGGCAAAGGCAAGTGTGCAGAATCCCAGAGCTCAAACAATGTTGTGAGGGCTCTGTCTCTCTTTCCAGTTCCCAGCTTAGGTGACACCATCTTGGCTTCACACTTCATTCAGAGCCTTTCCAGTATTCCCAGGTTCATCTCCTCTGATTTTAACAGTCCCAACAATGACCATAGTTCATTACTGGGGAAGACTCCAAGGGCCCCATCCAGTCATCCCTTAATCAAATACTCTGGATGGTGAAAAGTGTACTCTGATTGGTCAGCCTGCCTCACAAGCCCACCTCGGTGCAGTCGGCAGGGTACCACTACTGTCAGCCTGACCAAGAATACATGGAATTGGCAAGGAGTCCCCTTAGGAAACAGAAGGCACCAGGATAGTGAGCTAGACTGCCACAGTCTTCTCTTTCCATCTTTTGGTTCCACCATCCTACTTGGCATGTGACTTTTGTCCTCATCCATGTAACTTCATGGATACAAGATAGGTGCTAAAGATCTAAACATTATGATGTCTTCAAGGCAGGACGAGAGGGAGAGGGGCAGCCCTAGCCTTACCTGTCACTTTTATCAAAAAACCAAAAACCTTCCCTATAAAGACTTCCCTTAAACATCACTGGCCAGCACTGGACCACTCTCCTACCCCCCAGCTGCAAGGGAGGTTAGAAAATCTAGTTTTAACAAACTGGAATTGAATTGGATGACAAGCTGGGATGAGTCCAATTCTTCCCCCAGCCTGTTGTCTTCCCCTCTGTGGTTAATTACTCTTGCTTTAAGTCCCCATAGCATCCTGGGCCTCCCTTCTCAAAGAGACGGAAGCATCATACACCAATTGCTCATTTTTCTAGCCCCCACCCCCTGTTAAGATTTCTAAAGACTACTATCTTGTTCATAGTTGTATTCTCAGCTCTTAGCACAGTGCCCAGTTTCATCCCACAATGTTTTCTGAGTACCTACAAAGTGCCAGGCCCTGTGCAAATAAGTGGGCTCTCAGTGAACACTTTTTGGATGGATGGATGAATGGATGGATGGATGGGGATGGATGAATGGATGTGTGTACAGTGGGTGGGTGGATGGATGAACGAATGGTGGATGGTGAATGGTTGATGGGTGGGTGGATGGATAGGTGGGTGGATGACTAGTTGGGTGGGTGGATGGATGGTGGGTGTATGGGTGAATGGATGGGTGGGTGGGTAGATGGTGGATAGATGTACGGATGGTAGATGGTGGAGAGATATCATCACTGTCCAATGAAATGGCTCCACCCAGAGCAGCCTGAGGCTCCCTTGTCCTCCTACTCTCACTTCTCTCACCCCAGGCTGTCATTGTACTTTCCTAAAAGCCTTCTTATTTCATATGGAGCCATCAGATGGTCTCTCCTGGTACTCAGGCAACAGCTAATACTTTCCCTCCCTTTTGCCATCCAGTATCCAGTTGTATCTTGAATCAATACCAGTAAGCTGGGTGTGAACGGAAGGTGATTACTATTTGCCATTATTTACCCCTGAGTGTGTGCATTCCAACTGCTTCCATTCTCCTCTCTCTCTCCCTCTCTCTCTCTCTCCTTCCCCCCGCCCCTTTCTTCTCCACTCCTTGGGAACTGGTTCAACCAGAGTACAACCAGCTCATCTGCATCTC